ACCTTGGATGAGCACTGGCATCATAATGAACTTCCGCTTCATGCACAACCAAGGAGGAAGGTTTCGGGGAGGCGACCCGCGACTAAAGGGTAACCTTTAGTCGCGGTTGGGGAGGCGACCCGCGACTAAAGGACTTTTTTGGCGGGTTTTTCGTTCCCGCGCGCAACCACCTTTAGTCGCGGTTGGGCAGGCCAACCGCGACTAAAAGTATTTTCCAAATACTTTTTCTTTTTCAAAATTCTAAAAATACAAATAATATATCAAAAAATTCAGAAAAATAAAACTAATTCAATTCAAAATTCTAAAAATACAAATAATATATCAAAAAATTAAGAAAAATAAAACTAATTCAATTCAAAATGTTAAAAATACAAATAATATATCAAAAAATTCAGAAAAATAAAACTAATTCAATTCAAAATGTTAAAAATACAAATAATATATCAAAAAATTCAGAAAAATAAAACTAATTCAATTCAAAATAATATACCAGAGGCCGGTCGTCAAACTTTGGTATCCATGGAGCGTCATGGACTACATCACTCCAAATTTCATGTATCATTCGAAAATGGACACCAAACACATCACGGGTAATATAATTCACATGATCCATTCAACAAAGTTTGGTACAATAAATTATTACACATCATTTCTTCCCTTGTGTCCCTGCTTGCTTACGATTGTGCCGTATCCATGGAGCATCCTCATCATTTAACTTAATGCTTGGGTCGGTGTTAACTTTGAAGGGCGGAATTTCAGCAAACATATTATAATCTTCTGACATGTCTGTCTTGTCCTCCACTCCCACGATGTTTCTTTTCCCTGAAAGAACAATGTGGCGCTTTGGATCATCGCATGATGTACTGATCGTTTTCTTATCTTTCCGTTTCCTCGGTTTGCTACTCATGTCCTTCACATAGAAAACCTGAGCGACATCTTTCGCTAGGACGAATGGTTCGTCAAGGTAACCAAGATTGTTGAAATCCACCATTGTCATTCCGTATTGCTGGTCCACCTTTACCCCACCTCCTGTTAGCTTGAACCATTTGCACCGGAACAAAGGGACCTTAAAGGAGGGTCCATAGTCAAGTTCCCATATCTCCTCTATGTAACCATAATATGTGACCTTTTGCCCATTCTCGGTTGCTGCATCAAAGCGGACACCACTGTTTTGGTTGGTGCTCTTTTTATCTTGGGAGATCGTGTAAAATGTATTCCCATTTATCTCGTACCCTTGGAAAGTCGTTATAGTCGAAGATGGTGTCTTGGCCAACATGTACAGCTGATCTACAACATCATTGTCATTCATTAAATGTTTTCTCAACCAACTGCCGAAAGTCTCCATGTGGGCCTTCCTAATCCAGGATTCAGGCTTCCCCGGGTTGTCCGAGCGTAAAATATTCTTGTGTTTCTCAAAGTACGGAGCCACCAAGCTGGAATTGGTCAGTACAGTGTTGTGTGCTTCAGTCAGAGAATGGCCGTCCATACATATCGTTGATTTCCTTCCGATCGTGCCTTTTCCACTTAGTCTCCCCTCGTGCCGCGATCGAGGAAGACCAATCGGCTTAAGGTCAGGAACAAAGTCAACACAAAACTCAATTACCTCCTCATTTCCATAGCCCTTGGCGATGCTTCCTTCTGGCCTAGCACGGTTACGAACATATTTCTTTAATACTCCCATGAACCTCTCGAAGGGGAACATATTGTGTAGAAATACAGGACCGAGAACGAAAATCTCTTCGACTAGGTGAACCAGGAGGTGCGTCATAATATTGAAGAAGGATGGCGGGAACACCAACTCGAAACTGACAAGACATTGGATCACATCGTTCTGTAACCGTGGTAGAACTTCTGGATTGATTACCTTCTGAGAGATTGCATTGAGGAATACACATAGCTTCACAATGGCTACTCGAACATTTTCCGGCAGGAGCCCCCTCAAAGCAATCGGAAGCAATTGCGTCATAATCACGTGGCAGTCGTGAGACTTCAGGTTTTGGAACTTTTTCTCCGCCATGTTTATTATTCCCTTTATATTGGACGAGAATCCAGACGGGACCTTCATACTGCTCAGGCATTCAAAAAAGATGACCTTCTCTTCTTTGGTCAGAGCGTAGCTGGCACGACCTTGAAACCATTCCGGATGCCGGTCATCAGGGTCTTTCAAACGTTGCTGGTCCTGCCGTGCTTCCTTTGTATCATTTGTCTTCCCATACACGCCCAAGAAGCTTAGGAGGTTCACGCAAATATTCTTCGTAACGTGCATCACGTCGATTGCAGAGCGGACATCTAGGACTTTCCAATATTCTAGCTCCCAGAATATAGATTTCTTCTTCCACATGGCTGCGTGCCCGTCAGCTCCCTTCGGAACTGATTGTCCGTCAGGCCCCTTTCCAAAGATGACTTTCAAATCCTTGACCATATCAAATACCTCAGCACCAGTGCGTTCCGCAGGCTTCGGCCGGTGATCTGCCTTGCCGTTGTAATGCTTGCCTTTCTTTCTTACTGGATGAATTTTCGGAAGAAATCGACGATGCCCAAGGTACACGTTCTTCTTACAATTTGGCAAATGTACACTTTCAGTCTCATGTAAGCAGTGCGTGCATGCATTGTATCCCTTATTTGACAGTCCCGAAAGGTTACTAAGAGCAGGCCAATCGTTGATGGTTACGAAAAGCAACGCTCGTAGGTCAAATTCCTCTTGTTTGTGCTCATCCCACACACGGACACCACCCCACAGCTGTAAAAGTTCATCAACTAATGGCCTTAGGTACACATCGATGTCGTTGCCGGGTTGCTTCGGACCTTGGATGAGCACTGGCATCATAATGAACTTTCGCTTCATGCACAACCAAGGAGGAAGGTTGTAGATGCATAGAGTCACGGGCCAGGTGCTATGGCTGGAGCTCTGCTCGCCAAAAGGATTCATGCCATCCGTACTTAGAGCAAATCTTATGTTCCTTGCGTCAGCTGCAAAATCTTTGAACCATCTGTCGATCTTTCTCCATTGCGTTCCATCTGCGGTGTGTCTCAACTCCCCGTCCGACTTACGGTCCTCTTTGTGCCATCGCAACAACTTGGCATGCTCTTTGTTCCTGAACAGACGTTTCAACCGTGGTATTATAGGAGCATACCACATCACCTTGGCGGGAACCCTCTTCCTGGGTTTCTGGCCCTCAACATCGTCACCAGGGTCATCGCCTCTGATCTTATAACGCAATGCAGTGCATACCGGGCATTCATTCAAATTCTCGTATTCACCGCGGTAGAGGATGCAGTCGTTGATGCATGCATGTATCTTCAGAACCTCTAAACCTAGAGGGCAGACAACCTTCTTTGCTTCGTACGTACTGGCGGGCAACTCGTTATCCTTTGGAAACATATTCTTTAACATTTTCAGCAAGTTTTCAAATGCCGAGTCAGCTACACCTGCCTCTGCCTTCCATTTCAGCAAATCCAGGGTGCAGCCCAGCTTTTTCAGACCATCATCGCATCCGGGGTACAGCGCCTTTCTGTGATCCTCTAACATGCGATCCAAATTCTCCCTCTCCTTTTCAGTTTCGCAGCGTCTCCGTGCATCAGCAATGGTCCGACCAAGATCATCAACGGGATCATCACGTGCCTCTTCTTCACCTTCCCCTTCACCTTCAGCATCCTCCATGAAAGTATCACCGAAATGAGCAAGATAGCTTTCATCAATGAAATCATCCCCTTCTTCATCTTCTTCCATTATAACCCCTCTTTCTCCATGCTTGGTCCAACAATTATAGCTTGGCATGAACCGTGCCGAAGCAGATGCATGTGAACATCTCTTGAGGAAGAGTAACCCTTCTGATTCTTACAGATAACACATGGACAGATAACAAAACCCCCCTGCTTGTTCGCATTAGCCACTACGAGGAAATCTTTCAAACCCGTAGTGAACTCGCCGGAGAGTCGGTTACCGTACATCCATTGCCGATTCATCTGCATTATTATAATATAAAATATATAATTAACCATCATGCATTTGTTAAACTAACTAGCTACAAACAATATAAATTAAACAATTAACTGCACACATGCATATTTTATCAATGACACATCAAAGGTTCATCAAGTTGCTAACCGCGATCAAGGAGTGTGGCTCCAACACTTCATGTCATGTTTGTTTCATACTCTTGGGGCATTTCATCAAACACCTTATGTGCATAAGAGGAACCAAAAGCAAACCTAGCTACACCCACTTGTGAAGAGAATGGCTCCAAATGGCTAAGTGTTGGCTGCTGGATGGATATATATAGGGGAGGGGCTTTAGTTGCGGTTGGCCTGGCAAACCGTGACTAAAGGTGCCCGAAGGCCTTTAGTCGCGGTTGTCCTGGCCAACCGCGACTAAAGACCCTCACGTGCGCCAGCTAGCCACCGAGCGCCCTGGGCCCAGGCCTTTGGTCGCGGTTCACCTCCAGAACCGCGACTAAAGGTCCCATTAGTCGCGGTTCCTACAGCTTCGCGACTTATGGGGCTGGACGGAAGCCTGTTTTTCCACCAGTGAAGGTGAAAGCCAACAAGTAAGGGAGGCTTCCGATCTCCAATTTTCATACTTCGATTTCCAAGATTTATAGATCAAATTGCCTCACTCTCTGGTACTCTAATTAAACTCCATATATCGACAACTTTGCACAAAGCTCTATCCGCCAGCTTCATAATTATCTCAGGGGTAATGTTATATCTACAAAGGGTTACTTAAATTTTCTACAAGCAAGCTGATGTGGAGGATTTTGATTGGTAGGGCCAGCATTATTGTTATCCTTCACCGTACACATGCCGAGCAACCTGACTTTTCAAATGATGAAATAAGAGCTGTATTTTATCACAAGTTTCTCTTTCTTTCTTTTTTGCGGGATTTATCACAAGTTTCAGCATGCACTTTGTCTTCGGTTATTCACACACTTTTTATGAGAAGACGTCTTCGTACCCGTTCCTAACTGAGCCATGAGGTCCATGTATGTATACGCGTGCAGGTGCTACTACAAATGCATGTTTAGCCATGACCGCGGCTGCAGGGCGAAGAAGACGGTGCAGCAGCAGGATAGCAGCGGCGGCCGGCGTCCCATGTTCCAGGTCACCTACGTGAACGAGCACAAGTGCCAACAAGAAGTAGTGCTTCCCAGAGAATCTATCGGTGGGAACAAGCACACGGCAAGGAGCGGCCATTTCGATCCTCAACGCGCCAAACTGGACGACGACGTCATGGCCTCGTGCCTCGCCATGGTCATCGGCGGAGCTGCGCCTGCGGGTCTGTCGTCCTCGTCCTCGCCGCCGCCGGTCGTAAGAGCGAGCCCGAGTGATCCGGTCGGCTGGCATACGCCGAGCCTGCTGGACGTGGGCATGGGCCTGGGTGAGACGACGGTGGCGGAGATCTCGTGCCGCTCTCCATTTGCTCCCGTGAAGGCACCTGCAGCTCCGTCGTCGTCGTCTTCGTCGTCGCTGCCCGTGGAAGCGATCAACTCGAGTGATCCGACGCCGGCCGGCGGCCGACTCCCCCGGAGCACGGACGCTATGGCGATGGACGAAATTTACTTCCCGTGCGGCCCGCTGTTTTCTCCCTTCGCGGCTCAGTCGAGCATCCATTCGGTCGACGTGCCCATGGCTGTTGCCCGGTTCACAGACACCGACTCGGCGTGGCCATACTACTCGTGAATATACGTCGCCGCGCACCGTCACCGACATTACAAATCATATGCATATGTGTGCACAGAATGTCACTGACGAACATCAACATGGTATTTCAGTTATTTTATGTGCTCACTGCAACGCTCGTATATTAACTTGTATTTTTTTTCTTGAGGAGCTTGTATGTATATATGTCCATAACTATTGTTTATGTTTACCTAAAACTTTGTTATTTATATAAACATAATGTCAATCTGATTCTAGGAGCATGAATTATGCTCATCTTTACCTAAATCTTCGTTATCTATAAATTAGGCTCTGTATCACTCAAAATGTTGATTTGAAATTTGAAACTTTGTCTACCAAATTTATGGTTGACAATGGGAAAAAAATCCGTACACCGAGTGGGAGTCCAAAACGGACATGGATTATTTGCTCCCGAGCTCAAATGCTCCCCAGTGAACACTATAATCAAACAAATAGTAATTTTTTTGAAGAAGTTTTGGTTTTTTATTGTAAACTTTGATAATGTTTTTTGTGTTTGCAAAAATGTATCATGAAAGACTTTTGAAAAATGTATCATGAAATGACATTCGTGAAAGTCGTGGCAAAAAGAACAAAGTCAATGCTCCAAAAATAAGATTGAGCGGAAGAGGACTTTCGGTCCAAAACTAGCATTAGAATGAAATTAAGCCCCATGCAATCAAGAGATGGCGACTATGATTAATTCTAAAAGAGTGATGTGTTCAATCAAACCAACACAAGTTTTTTCTCCTACCGGACACATTAAATGAATCATTGACTTTGTCACAAAAGTTAAAATGAACAGTGGATCGGATTAAAGTTCACAAGTTTCTATGTCAGTGGGTATGCAACAGTGTGCTGATCCATCTACCATCAGTTATTTTCATATACGGAATGTATAGGGACGCATCCAAATAAATATGGTTGGTGAGATATGGGGTGCATATCCATGAAATAAAAGATATGGGGGACACGTGTCTTGCCCGAATTCAGGAGCAACTAAGAGTTTTTATTTCACGAAGGCTTTTGATGACACCTTTTTTCTAAGGTGCTACGGTCGGCTTACGTCGGCTTGAACCATTTCATTAAAAGAAACATAATACATTTCATTAAAAGAAACATAGTACATTTCATGTCAAGGTTTAAGCAAACACATCATCGCAAAAGAAAGGTAGAAGCAAACACTGTTGCTTGTTGCGTTAGTTTTTTTCTTTACAATCTGCTTGTTGCGTTAGCTAATCTAGCTAACAAGTAAGATAGATGGTCCATGTGTACAGTTGCATCGAGGTATTTTTGCAATATAAAAAGAGGACCCCTCTTAGCCAGCAAACATTCGCTGGCCAGCATGGCAATAGCGAACGTTTTTTAAGGTAATTTTAGTTATAGGGGTGGCAATTTTTCAGACTATAACATGACAATTTCTTTCTAAAAAAGCAATTTTTAAATAAATTATCACCGTTTGATCTCAATCAAACGGCTGCGAAGGCGTTCGTGCTGAGAAAAACAGGGTGCTCAGGTCTCCACGACGGGTATTCGATGGGTGGACCGGAACTGGAACCCGAACCCAACAGGGAAAAGGTCGGCGACGCGGGGTTTCCAAATCCAAAAATCAAGGAACCGACATCACCGTCGCGCTGTATCTGCCAAGGCAGTATATAAGGGGGAGAGAGGGAGAGAGAGAGAAAAAAGAGAGATACTTCACGTCGTGCCGCAGACCCGCAGTAACCCTACCTCCACGCCGGCCTCTTTCCCCGGCGACCCCTCGGCCTCGCCGGAGCAAAGGGAGAAGAACTGCCTGCCACTCGCGCGGCCACGCGCCCAAGGTAACTTCAGGTCTCTCCCTCCCTGTCCGGGGCTGGCCTTGGCTCTTGGCTCCCAAGGTCACCATGGGTCTTAGCGTCGTGTTTGATGATCTTGAACGGGTGAACCGTGGTAGCTTGCAGGCCTGTCCGTTCAATCCGGCATCCTCCTGCGGTCCTGCCACCTTGAGGAAGAAGCAATGCCGGCGGCTGCCCATACGTTTGACAGCGACGGTGACGAATTCGACGGCCCAGTCTCCTTCAAGAGGCCGAGTGCCTCTCTGAAGCAAAACAACATGCCCACCCCTTCATCAGGAGATGTACAACATTGTCAAAAGAGTGCATTGGAAAGGCCTCATGTGGAAGATGTCCTCATGGCGGACACCGATGATTCAGATGACGACGACGTACCACTTGCACTGAGGAAAAAGGCCGATGACAGGAAATTCCAGAGAATCACCACATGTAGCGCCGATTCAGATTCAGAAGATGATGAGAAACCACTCTCCGCAAGGTTGTTCAAGGACGCCGCTTCACCAAGTGGAGGCAGCGCCTCCGACGATGATGATTCAGAGGATGATAAGCCATTGGCTGCCCGTTTTTCACTCGTTACTCGAAATTCCGTGGACATGCCGATCGAACCTAACAAGGAGGCGTTGAACAGTAGTGCAAGTAGTGCTACCCGAAATTCAGTCAAGAGGCCATGTGATAGCAATATTCAGCCAAGTTCAGCTCTTAAGAAGGCAAAGTGTACAAACAGTTCTGCCTCTGCAAGTTCAGAGGATGATGGAAGTGACAATGTACCTCTCGCACGAAGGCTGACAGTCGGCGAGCCTTCAAAAAGAAAGCCGTCTGCAAAGGATATTGTGAAGAAGAAAAAGAAGAGCCCTTCATCTTCTAAGGACAACCTGAAAGTAGTAAAAAGGAAAACAAAGAAACTAATGAGAAATTCCCGGTCCTCGAAGGCAACGAAGGTCCGTGAAGTGTCTGGTGGTGGAAAGAAATGGTCTACTTTGGTGCACAATGGTGTCATCTTCCCCCCTCCGTACAAGCCTCATGGTGTCAAGATGCTATACAATGGAAAACCTGTTGATCTGACCCCAGAACAGGAGGAGGTGATATATATTCAGCATTGACAGTTTACTGCTTTGTTTTTTACTACTCCCTCCGTCCGGAAATACTCGTCGGAGGAATGGATGTATCTAGATATATTTTAGTTCTAGATACATTCATTTTCATGCATTTCTCCGACAAGTATTTCCGGACGGAGGGAGTACTTCAGTTTCGTAGCAATGAGGATGATCAGGCTGCTCCTAAATATCAAGATCACGATTCAGTCTTTTTGTTCCTCCGCTAATTCTCTGCTCTGCAGGTTGCAACCATGTTTGCTGTCATGAAAGACACTGAGTACGCGTCCAAGGAAACATTTATCAACAACTTTTTCACCGACTGGAGTAAAATTCTTGGTAAAACCCATACTATCAAAAAGTTTGAGCTTTGTGATTTCACACCGATCTATGAATGGCACCTCCAAGAGAAGGAGAAGAAAACGCAGATGACTTCAGAGGTAGATTTTTATAAATTCTGCAGAGTGAACTTATTGTTGTTATCTCTAAAATTTCTCACAGTTTGATGACTAAAAGATCTCCAAGAACACAGATTTATCCTGCCACCAACGATCATCTGAAGTATTTAATCCTTGTAACTCTTTCTTGACAGGAGAAGAAAGCATTGCGGGAAGAGAGAGAGAAACAAGAGAAGAAATTTATGTGGGCTTCCGTAGACGGTGTTGAAGAGAAGGTCTTTTTTTTCATGGTTTCCGAATATGACTTGGGCTTTTATAAATCCTACTTCATCCGTCCGAAAAAGTTTGTCCCAAGCTTGTCTCTCAAATGGATGTATCTAGCACTATACATCTATTTGAGGGACAAGTTTTTTCGGACGGAGGGAGTACTAGAATAGACAGTCCACTCTTTTTCTTCGGCGACTATACACATATGCCACTAGTCTCAAAAGCAAATTCAGATTTTGCCATCATTTTTTCGATAACGAAATTAAGATTTTTGCACTGGATGTGGAGAAATGATGTTAGTACTATATAAAACGATGGATTTCCTCAGTGGAAGTGAGACTTGCATTGTTGTTCATATTCTTCTACATGCATATATACCAGTTTGGCTACTGAGCAAACTGACATGTTTAATTGCTTCAGGTTGGTAATCTCAGAGTAGAACCACCTGGCTTGTTCAGGGGACGTGGAGAGCATCCAAAGGTACGGATTTGCAAATTAATCACATACTCCCTCCGTTACCAAATACAAGTCTTTTAAGAGATTTCAACGCGGACTACATACGGAGCAAAATGAGTGAATCTACACTCTAAAATATATACATCCGTATGTAGTCCCTATTGAAATCTCTAACAAGACTTATATTTAGGAATGGAGGGAGTATTTTTTTTTTTTACTTCAAGTGAGGGCCTTCAATTTAAGGCTCTCTACTGAATTGTTTTAGATGGGAAGACTGAAGCGACGCATCCGACCAAGTGATATTACAATAAACATTGGAGAAGAGGCTCCAATCCCAGTTTGTCCTATACCAGGAGAAAGGTACCCTGGAATTAAAGTTATTGATGTTATCGGGAAGGAGAGTATTTATGTAGGGGCTTCTAGCATGTATAAATTCATGATTGGTAATGTGTTCTGCAGCTGGAAAGAAGTTAAACATGACAATACTGTTACATGGTTGGCCTTTTGGAATGATCCGATAAACCAAAAGGATTTCAAGTATGTTTTCCTGGCGGCAAGCAGCTCCCTAAAGGGGCAAAGCGACAAGGAGAAATATGAGAAGGCCCGGAGACTGAAGGTGAGGAAGTCAGTTTTGTGATTCATATAGGTTTTCTGTCTCCATGTAAAGATAATTATAATGCTAATTGTGTTCATATGGCTATGGCAGGATCACATACGCAATATTCGTGCAAATTACACCAAGGATTTCAGGAGCAAAGAGCAGGTGAAGAAACAAATTGCAGTGGCAACATACCTTATAGATAAACTAGCCCTTAGGGCGGGGAATGAAAAGGTATATCCTACTGGGCTCATCGTTACTGAATGATACTCCCTCCGTCCCAAAATAAGTGTCTCAACTTTGTACTAACTTTAGTACAAAATTGTATTAAACTTGAGACACTTATTTTGGGACAGAGGGAGTATTTCCATTTTATTCTAGATGGTTGTGATAGTATGTATGTTGGCAATGCACTGTATACCCTTAAAGGTTATTGCATAAATTCTTCTGCTTTTATGCTTGATATACAACTGTGTTATGCTTTTATGTAATATATGTATGTCCCGTCAGCATCGCTGACAGCGTTATCTGAATTAACCCTTTTGCATCAAGACTACTCTCTATAAAGGATTAGCGGACACAAATAATACATGATGAGCCATTCGCCGAAAATCAATTCCTTTCCGCATACATCCTTGTATCTTTTTGGTAATAACCACTTAGCTTTGAACTTCATTGACATATGTTCTCATGCTACTTCAATCCTTTTTTAGGATGACGATGAGGCTGATACAGTTGGTTGTTGTACGCTGAAGGTTGAAAATGTTACTTGTCTGCCCTCAAACAAGTTGCAGGTCTTGATCTTTGTTCTCTATTCTGGTACTCACTATATGAAAAGTAAATTTTCATGTTATCTAATGTTTAGTCGATTTCTTTTCAGTTCGACTTCCTTGGTAAAGATTCTATTAGATACTTGAACACTGTAGAGGTTGAACCACTTGTATACAAGGCAATTAAGGAATTCTGTGCAGGTATCTCCCAATGCTCTTTTCCCATCCCTCCATCTCTTCCTGCCCTAGACAAATGTTATTGACATCTGTTCTGCATACCTGTTTTCTAGGTAAAAATAAAGGTGCGCATGTCTTTGACAAGCTTGATACAACTAAACTAAATGCTCATCTCAAGGACTTAATGCCTGGCCTTACTGCAAAAGTCTTCCGTACATATAATGCTTCTATCACTTTGGACGATATCGTAAGTTCAATGCAAATTTCACTGTCCTGTACCAGGTCTTTGTTCTCTACTTTTATGTTTACACTATTTAATCTAAGGGCTTGATGAAGTGATTAGCTGAAGTTTGTCGTGAGTAAAACAATTTAGTAGCGTATGTTTTACTGCTTTATTTTGGTACTGTAATATGCATGGCTGCAGCTCAAATCAACAAAATACATTTAGTTTGTCAATGACACACAGAAATCGTCAGCATTATTATGTGCCATGTGACTACGATGTTATGTCATCATATATTTTGGATCTGAAGAAATATATGTGTGTGATGGTATTACAGTTGAATAAAGAAACAGAAGTTGGGAGCCTTATTGAAAAAATTAATGTCTACTCCCGAGCAAACAAACAGGTAAAGTCCGTTATTCATGAGGGAAAAAAACTTGCATAGTCAATACATCGCTCTTATTGACTCTCAATGATGTTTCTCATTTACTCAGGTTGCCATAATCTGTAACCATCAGCGTGCGGTCCCAAAATCACATGATTCCCAGATGACTAAGTTGAATGAAAAGATTGATGAATTAAAGGTTGGTTTATGGTTGCAAATGATTAGATCAAACTTATGCTAGTTTGATGTGGGTGCAAATGATTGGCTCAAATATATGCTTGTCCTGTAAACTTTTTGATTGTCATTTGGTTCTTTTCTCCAGGCCCAGAGGGATGAATTGAAAGCAGACTTAAAGAGAGCGAAGAAAGGAAAGCCTCTAGCCGGTGATGAAGATGGGAAGCGAAAGAGAAAATTGACCCCTGAAGTGTACGTCACAACCACAGATATGTCATGTTTTCTACTTGCCTGAACATAGAGTGGAGACAATCTCATAAACCCACTTGCAGGTTGGAGACTAAGATCTATAAAATTGAAACCAAGATCAAGGAAATGGATATCGCTAAGACGAATAGAGAGGAGTTGAAGACAGTAGCACTAGGAACATCAAAGATCAACTACCTTGATCCAAGAATCACCGTGGCGTGGTGCAAAACCCATGAAGTTCCTATTGAGAAGGTATTACAGTCCCTTGGATCTCCTCTCGGTTGTATTATAGTTCTCAGCATCTCTGCTCCTTGACCATCCATATATGCAAGAGATAAAAAAATAGATTATCAGTTAATCTATAGACATAAAGCCATATAAACCTTCCTCCCTATAAAATTAAGAGTTGTTTTATTTATTTCATAGTCGAAATTGCATTGCAGTGCAGGTAAAAATTAGTTCTATTTTATACTTATGCCTTGATTTATTGTTTGAATGACTAATTTGATTAATTGTTATCATTTGGTAGTCCTTAACAGAAGCTGTTTTTGTGTGTGTGTGTGTGTGTGTGCAGATTTTCAGCAAGACAATTCTCGCGAAATTTGGATGGGCGATGGACGCCGACCCGGATTTCAGATTCTAAGGGATGCCTGGCCAGTCAGTAAATTCGAACAATCTTCCAGCCCCCTTATCCCCGACCGCAGATGCAGCTAGGAAAGAAAGAGCACCCGGAAAGAAGGAATCGCTGGTCATTCTCTTTGTAGGCTCTGCTTTTGTTTATCCTGTGTTCGCCATCTTTCGATTGCCTTGTATGCGCTTGGCCCGGTGGATTTCAGTCGAATCTCAAATATAGCTGACGGTGTGTGCATATGTACTTGAGAACTGCTGACTGATTTTGATGGAAGAAATGCTACAATGTGCAAATTTTGATAGAGTAGTTTAGTGGTTGTGCCATGGTCTTCATGTATTTTATATACAAATTCTAACAAGAATGCACTGGCGGCGACTGAATTTGGTAATTTTGAAAACTTCAAATTACAGTTGTGGGAAGCGTTTTTACCTGATCCAAACTCTGTGCTCCCATCCCCAACTATGAATGGTGTCTATGTCGGCCTCCGTCGCCGCTCAGTGCCGGTGGTCGTCTACCGGAACTTCGTCTGCCTACTAGCCAGATACTGAATCTCGCCCGCTCTGCTCGCCTCACTCCCTCAATTCCACCGGTTCTCCTCCATTCTCCTGCACGGTGACGGGGGTGGGGGGAGGCCGGCTCCTCTTTGCGACGACGCACGGCCGCAGCCCTGCACGGCGGAGAGCGAGGCCGCGCTGGTATGGTCGCCAAGATTGCCGTGGCTCGCCTCGGACGGCGCCTTCCAGGCCGCGTACGTGTAGACGGCTGACGCGCGCTCCAAATGGCAGGGCTCAAGGCGGTGGCTACCCGAGTGGAAAGGCGGGCGCGTGGAGGCGCAGACGGTGGGCGGGGCGACCAGCACGGGCACGTACTCACTGCGGCGGCGAAGGCAGCTGGGCGGCGCGCCGCAGGGCGTGCGGCAGCGGATGTAGCCGCGCGGCGGCCGGCGGAGATTCCTAAGAAAAAAAGAACATTACGTCTCTATGTAAACGTGTATCCATGGACTTTTGTGCAAATTGGGTGAACAAGCTTATGTTATTTTTATCTTTCCGACCGAGTTTTATTGAAATAGGCTTTCGCTCAGTTTTAAAAAAGGCACCACAAGACCTTGCTTCTTTTTAATATCAGTATAGACGCCATACACTCACCCTTATGAACGCGCACATACATACTCTACTCCTCAACATGCCCACATTAAATTTCTCTATCGTACCAAGATTCACCTAGTGAATTTTCTAAAAAAGAAAAGAAAAAGAAGAGATTCCTTTTTCTTTTTCTTTTAGGGGTAGAAGAGATTCACCTACTAGTGACGGACATGATTTGGACGGGTGAATATTCAAGCGCTAGGTGGAAGCCGGCCTGGCACCTCTGTCCAGCACGGCACCGCGCAACTCAAAGTAAACGCTATCGTCACGCCACACGTGGCACGTCGCCGCCGTGGAGCTTGTCGATAGAGAGGCCCTCACCTCAGCCCAGCCAAAGCCCAGCCGCCGCCCCCGCAAATCAACCGGAGAGAGCCGGGAGGGAGAAAAAAAAAATGCTGCAGGTGGAGAAGGCGCTGGCGGCGGTGCTGTCCGCCGCCGCGGCCTGCCGCGCCGCCCCGTCGGCCGTGCCGCTGCTCGACGCGCTCGGCCTCGTCCTCGCGGAGGACGTCCGCGCGCCCGACCCCCTGCCCCCCTTCCGCGCATCCGTCAAGGTCAGTCCCAGCCGAGTCAACCAACCCCCCTCCCGCTGCTCCGTCTGAGGTGAATAACGGCCGTCTCCTGCAGGACGGGTACGCCGTGGTGGCCGCCGACGGGCCCGGGGAGTACCCGGTCATCGCGGAGGCCAGGGCCGGCGACGACGCGCTCGGCGTGGTCGTGACACCCGGTACCGTCGCGTACGTCACGACCGGAGGTGCGGCGGCGGCTAACTGCTACGCTCTACCTACCTCTATCCGGTGCTGCGTGCGTTTTTGGTCGAGCTGACGATGCGGCTGTCATTGGTGTATTGACTATTGACCAGGGCCGATTCCCGACGGCGCGGATGCCGTCGTGCAGGTGGAGGACACGGAGCAGGTCGCCGCTGCGCCTGATGGGTCGAAGAGGGTTAGGATCTTGGCGCGGGTAGCTGAGGGGCACGATATACGCAGCGTGGTATGCCAATTTTTCGATACTTTTGTCAGTGCTTGCTAGTTTTATATGATCTCTTTCGGTTTATGGGGATTAACCACGGGTTGTGAGACTGAATTTGATGGATTGCTATAGCCCATGCTCTGCAGCCGAGTCAGCTGCGCCTAAATTCAGTTTACATGTTTCACACTATTACTGTTTCATCTCTATTGTAAATTTCTAATGAGCTCTCCTGTGTTTTGGAGGGCAACCATGGGTTCTGATTTGTGATGCTATGCATTTGATAGATAGCTATGGTCCACACGCTCTGCTGCCATGTTAACTGCATCCAAATTCAGCTTGCGTAGTTGTTCCATCTCTTGTCCAGGAAACTGGAAGCAAGATTCTTGTTTATAATCTTGTCACGGCCTCATGAGATTAGTTGTCTACAAATGTATATCAATTGCCACCACTGTTCGTACAGAACACTCAATGCAATAAAAGATCAATGAAATGGTATGCACAATAAGGCATTTGTCTAGCACTACAACTTTAAAGATGGACCACAATCATCTGTGGTGAGTTTTCTTGGTAACCGGTGTGTTAGTTATCTGAATGTATAATTTCCAGGGATGTGACATAGAGAAAGATTATATAGTGCTGAAATCTGGTGAGAACATAGGTCCTGCAGAAATTGGGCTACTTGCAACAGTGGGAGTAACTACTGTCAAGGTGAACATCTTATGAATAATTTTACCAAGTATATGAGAGTAAAACTTACTGTGCTCTAATGCAGCATTCTGCGTTTGCATGTGCAGGCATACCGTCGACCAACCATTGCTGTATTCTCTACAGGGGATGAGTTAGTTCAGCCAGCCACTGCAACTCTCAATCGCGGTCAGGTTATTTCTACTATTCCACAACGTTTGCGTCCTTCACATTTCTTTGCATTCCGTATTTACCAAAATGCATGACCTCTCTGCTTGAAACTAAAATTTCAGATTCGTGATTCTAACCGGGCCATGCTACTTGCTGCTGCTATTCAGCAGAAGTGTAAAGTGGTTGACTTGGGTATTGCAAAAGATACTGAAGAAAGTCTTATGGAGCATATGGATGCAGCTCTACGTTCTGATGCTGATATAATCCTTACTTCTGGTGGTGTTTCCATGGGTGATAGAGATCTTGTCAAACCTTGCTTGGCAAAGATGGGTAAAATTCACTTCGAAAAGGTAACCTAGAAATCCTTATGGGGTATTGTGTACCAAGATGTTGATAAGCAGCATCAGCCTTATGATTGTATTCTTTTCCTGTATGCTGTTGGATAACCATTGAAAGCAGTTGAGTTTGCAAAAGATACCTTTTAAAATCGGTACCGCTATATCTGTCCATTTTTCTCCAATGATTTTAATCATTTGCTGTATGTGCATGCAGATCCGGATGAAACCAGGGAAGCCATTGACATTTGCTGAGATCACATCAAATGACCCAACAAAGCCATCCAAAACAGCTCTTGCTTTTGGCTTGCCTGGAAACCCAGTGAGCTGTATGGTTTGCTTCAATCTCTTTGTTGTTCCTGCAATACGTCTTGTCTCTGGTTGGTCAAATCCTCATCTGGAGAGGTAGTTATCCTTTGTGCTTGTTATTTGTTTTTCTTTCAGCATTTTGTTCTTCATTTTCCACTGATGAGACTTTTTAGAGTGCATGTGCGAATATCACATCCTCTAAGAGCAGACCCACATCGTATGGAGTTTCATCGTGCAGTGATCAGATGGGTGCTCGACGATGGATCCGGTAGACCAGGGTAAGAGTTATATTTTACCATGGCAGCCTGATGTTTCATTACACCATATTTGACACCACGTAAGTAAATGTCTGCTAATTTATTTTTGGCAGTTATGTTGCTGAGAGCACTGGCCAACAAGCTAGTAGCCGCCTTCTAAGTATGAAATCTGCAAATGCCTTGCTGGAAGTGCAATCATCTGAGCAGATATTGGCAGCTGGAGCATCTGTCCAAGCTATACTTATTTCTGATATAACTAGCCCTCCTCTGGATAAGCTGCCTGCTGCTTCCAGCCCCTTATCATCTCATCTTGTTTCTTCTGCAAAAGGTGCTTTGGCGGATGCACCACAGGTTGCAGCTTCTCAGAATGCTGAAGTTAAAGTAGCAATTCTGACTGTTAGTGACACTGTTTCTTCTGGAGCAGGCCCCGATAGGAGGTATTTCCTTAAGTGCAATACCTTTTTCTTCAGTCTTAAGTTCTGTTGTTTGTGATTTTGTTCCCACTCTCAAAATACATTAGAAAGAAAAAATCTGTATGGTATGCAGAGTACATGCATCCTGATACACCTCTTTGCCTCAAGCTGCAAATGGGTCACTCTTGATGCAAAATGAAATGAGTCAAATTACTGTCTATTCCTTGCATGTTCACATAAGATGGTGATGTGTTTCAGCAAGGACTCCACATTTCACAAATTTATCATCGTACCTAGGCCTCAAAATTTGTACTCTTTGCAAGTACGTGCATCCTGATACACCTCTTTGCTTTGAGTTGCAAATGGGTCACTCTTGATGCAAAATAGAAGAGTCAAATTACTGTCTATTCTTTGCATATTCACATAACAGGATGATGCATCTCAGTAAGGACTCCACATTTCACAAGTTTATTATCATACCTAGGCCTCAAAATTTGTGCTCTTTGCAAAGTACATGCATCCTGATACACCTCTTTGCCTTGAGTTGCAAATGGGTCACTCTTGATGCAAAATAGAAGAGTCAATTTACTGATGATTCTTCTCATAAGATGGTGATGTGTCTCAGTAAGGACTCCGCATTTTACAAATTTATTATCCTACCTAGTCCTCCAAATTTGTACTCTTTGCAAAGTACGTGCATCTTGATACACCTCTTTGCCTCGAGTTGCAAGTGGGTCACTCTTGATGCAAAATAGAAGAGATGATTAACTGATGATTCTTCACATAAGATGGTGATGAATTTCAGTAAGGACTCCACATTTCACAAAGTTATTATCCTTTCTTGGCCTCAAAATTGCGGATTAATCATAACTTCCGTTTATTCTTCGTGATGTGAATCATGCTTCCATGAAAAGTAACTTATGTCATTGTTATTTCGTCTCTCTTATCATCCCATCTGTAGTGGCCCAAGAGCTGTATCTGTAGTGAACTCTTCATCGGAGAAATTAGGGGGAGCAGTTGTTGTTGCTACTGCTGTGGTTCCAGATGAAGTGGACAAAATTAAGGAGATTCTGGTGAAGTGGAGCGATATTGACCGCGTTAACCTCATCTTGACCTTAGGTGAAAATTTTATTTTGAAGAAATTGCTTAGGTCACATGATCTCAAGATTCCTACTCACGCTAGCTTGTAAATGCAGGTGGCACTGGCTTCACACCTAGAGATGTTACTCCAGAAGCAACTAAATCTGTAATAGAGAAAGAAGCACCCGGCCTTGCGTTTGTTATGATTCAGGAGAGTTTAAAGGTGATGACAACGTTCGTTTATTACAGCCTCTTTGTTTCACTTACTGACTATTTCCATAGATCACATCTACTCCCTCTGTTCCTAAATATTTGTCTTTCTAGAGATTTCAACAAGTGACTACATACGGAGCAAAATGAGTGAATCTACACTCTAAAATATGTTTATATACATCCGTATGTGGTAGTCCATTTGAAATCTCTAAAAAGACAAATATTTAGGAACGGAGGGAGTAATTGCTAACCATATATACATGACATAGAAAACAACTTTCCCCAAATGTGTTTGGTGTCTCGAATTCGGCAGGATTCAGATCCTCTTCTTCTGTACTGATGGTGCTTGCACTTTTCTGTTCGGTACAGGTGACACCATTTGCCATGCTATCCCGAGCGGCGTGTGGGATAAGAGGATCGACACTTGTATGGACTGAAACCAAAGAATGCTTCGTAATTTCAAACTTGTAGGTTCTGAAACGCTCACAAGAGTTCCTTTTTCCAGATCATCAACATGCCTGGCAACCCGAACGCTGTCGCGGAGTGCATGGAGGCTCTTCTCCCAGCGCTGAAGCATGCCATGAAGCAGCTGAAGGGTGACAAGAGGGAGAAGAACCCCCGACACATACCTCACGCTGAAGCCACACCAGTCGATCAGTGGGAGCGCAGTTTCAGAGCTGCATCATCGGGTGGTGGCTGCTCATGCGACCCCTGATCGGCGCTCATCCACAGGTGGTGGAACACTCCTGGGGAACCTGTTTTCGTGATCCTGCTGCATCCAGTTTCAAGATGAATCGGCGATGGTTTCGGTTTTTCTCGTTATGGCTATTTCGTTACTCTTGACATCCGAGGACCCGTGTGTATGTGCTACCAATAAAGCAGTGAGAGTTTCTTTCTGGTCTTCTATCTATCAGTCTATTCCCTCACAATGACAGTTGGTCATTTTGCCTGTATTACACTCTAACGTAGTGATGTACTTGTGATCCATGGAAATAAAGTGCAGTGCACTTGTTCAGAAAACAATGTAATTTTCAGATGCATGGAACCAACCAAAAACGTTGATCTTTCACAAAATGAAAACTAGTTTATCATCAATAGCTGTACAAAAGGGTAAGAAAAGAAGGCAAATTTTCCAATAAACAAAGCATCTATAAATTTGGGAAGCATTTGCAGAACAATACAGTTTTTTTCTATCTGAGAAGCTTATTTTACATGAGCAAACTACTCAAATTACATGGGAGCTTAGGGAGGGTATATCTAGGTCCATCCATCGATCGGGTTCGGGGCGAAGGGAAAGGATTTCCTTTTCGTGCCATATGTCGCTTAGACTTTACTTTTCCCCCTTTCCGCCTGTTATTTTTGCACACTGAAAAAACAAAACAAAAACATTGTGATAAGTAAGCCGAGTACCGAATGACCAAATGGCATTGGAGGTGCATGGTAAGCCGAATGTGACAAGATCGGCACTCGGTTTACAGTTACCACATGGCAGCCACTGCCCACTGGTAGTCCCTATCTCCCTGATGGTTGCATAAGCTAAGGGCGAGGCACTCGGCGTCTAGCCCGCTCGGTGACGCAGCAGTCGAGCAATGTGAGGACATCACTCGGCTTAGAGCATCTCTAGCACACCCTTATAACGGGCGGCCCGTAAAAATCTGGCAACTATACGGATATGGTCCTCTTTTTAGGCCAGACCAGAGTCCGTATAGTCGCCCGGCCCGTAAATGTTTTTACGATGGCCCACAAACACCCCCTCCCCCCTTCCTCCCCGCACGCGCGCAGTATATCTAAGGGTTTGCGGCCGGAATACGGGTCGAAACCCTATCCGTGCGCCGCCACAATTCCAAAATCCTCCTCTCGATTTCTCGCTGCAGGCGACTTCAATCCCCCTCGATGTGGCGCGGAATGTGGTCGACAGGCCGTGGCGCCGGCGGGGCGATGGCCCCGAGCGGAGGCGGTGCGTTGCCGCCGACGGCGCTCGGAAAAGGGCTGCCAGTAGGTACACAAACCAAGGGCTCTCGCCGTCGCTCCTCCGCCACGAGACAGAAGAGTACAACCGCAGGTAGGCGCTCCTCCGCCGCGGGAGGCGAAGCCGGAGCAGCAGGGCGGTGGCGTCATCGGGCTAGAGGATTTCCTCCCCCGGCGGAGGCGGATGCCATGGAGGCCGCCATCCTCGCACGAAGTGCGCGGGAGGAGGAGGAGGTTAAGGACGTCCTGCTCGAGTAGGACCACGCCAGGGTGTGCGAGTTCGAGGAGAAGGAGGAGTGATGCCGCGAAGCCGAAGCGCAGGACGCCAAGTACGTCGACCTCACCTCCGACACCGACGACGAGTGATTGGCGCCGCTGCCGCACCCGCAAGGCTCACCGGTGAGCTCCATTTTGGCCAGTTTAGGTTATGGTAGGCCGTCGCGCTTTCCGCCGCCGATGAACTATATGGCATGTATGTATGAATGATCATCTTTAGTGTTTCTCATTCATATCTCTGGCGAAACATTTTTTCAAAATTTTGCAGTTTCATATACAGTTTCTGGTTGGCCGCAGACAAATTCGCCTCTTATATCACCTCCGACGCGAACCGTAAACCTCTTATAAGGGCTAGCCTTATAAGGGGTCGGCTAGAGAGGAACTTATACAATCTTGTCAGCAAAGCGGCAAACCCAGAATTTCCCAGAGTACCTTCGGCTCACCTCGTGCCATGTGGCCGCAGCTGGAACCCACTGTCAGGTGGTGATGCCTAGTACTTTGGGTTCTTTACTTACCTATTACTCCCTGTTTCTAAATATAAGCCTTTTTAAAGATTCTATTATGAATTATATACAGAGCAAAATGAGTGAATCTACACTCTAAAACATACTTCCTCCGTCTCATAATATAAGAACGCGTATCTATATACATCTATATGTAATTCGTGTTGAAATCTTAAAAGGGCTTATATTTAGAGACGGTGAGAGCAGTTGACACTACACTTAGCTTACGGCCGATGCCACGTGCCAAGGCCGTTAACCCTCAACCGCCTTTAGTTTGCTGAATGCCCGTGCTTTACACCTAGCTAGCTTAATTACGGTAAGCCGAGAACCCGATAGAAAACAGTCGGTTATCGGCCGGGTGTATTGCGTGGGTGTAAGCGCACGCAGTTGTCGGCCGGGTGTAGACTGAGTGTAACACTCGACTTGTATGAAGTCGAACATAGTTTGGGCTGGGCCTTAGCCGACTATGCTGGGTACTCGCCTACTCGGCTTCGAATGCGATTCCTGTAGTGTGGTCGACGTCTCGGACGATGTTGCGGCTTCTCAGGTGCTCGATCGGATCAAGCTCTAGGCGCTAGACGAGGAACATTGGCATGCCCTGCAGGCTGACTCACCGCTGCTGACTTTAATGTAATGACCTAGAGTATAACCAATTAGCTTACCGGTGTGTAGGTGTGCTAGAATATACTATATGACCCTTTCAAGTTTTCAGGTGAGGAAGCTCTCGTCGTGGAAAAGCTTATATATAGTTAATCTAAACTAGTCCTCTATCCATATCCATCTTTCGTTTGCTGGTAATTAGAATCTTATTCATTCAACATAAAATACATTACAATCCATCTTAATTAAGTTGCTAACCAGAATCACCATTACATATGTCCAGCACAAAGACTAGGCAGAAATTTGCGCACGTACACATATGCTATCTCGTGACATTTCTTGATTTATATTTATTATTATTTCACTCTCCCACGGTGGTATTCGCCAAATATTCAATAACTTATGGAGCGGTGGTGATGGCTAAGCACTAATGGTTCGACCACCATCGATGCAAATGATCTGGCCGGTGATGAAAGACGCTGCCGGCATACACAAAAATGACACTGCCGAGGCTATCTCCACCGGCTTGCCGCTCCGTCCCAATGGGGTCTTCGAGTGCTCTTCCTTCACGTACTCTGTATCCATCTGTGCAATCCACACAAAAACCACTTGTTATCCACATTTAGCTAGAAAAGATAAGAAAACTTGCTATCAGTTTGCAAGATAATCTTAGATGGAAAGACGAATAAATACATCAAGTTACGCTCTCATCAATTTAAACCGACAGTCTCTGAATCTTGTAGTACCATAGTAAAAAAAATCACTAGTGCTCTCTTCAATTAATTAAGAGCAACTCCCTCCGTCCTATAATATAGTTATTACATTCGATATACTCACATATTAGATATAATAACATCTTGTATTATGAGACGGAGGGAGTAGCTATTTTGGTGCAACTAACACATCATTTTGGAAACTTCAAAACACACACACATCATTTTGGATGTTGAAATCTTTTTCTACTCAGGTAATGTGAACTTGGAGCGTCTAAGCGTCGTAAGTACACCATCCAGAGAGCCCCCTCACGACACCTCCCCAGGGCGCCGCTAAGGGGCGATCTCAGCGCCGCCAGCAGCCAACCAAGACGCGGCCTCCCGTCTTCCGCTGTCACCGGCATAGGCCGCGGTGGCGGCGGGCCCGACACCGAAGGGGCCGGGGTGCTGGATGTGGCGGCGACCCTCATGGATCGACTGGGGCGAGTCCAACGAGGAGCACATGCGTAGCGGCCAGGGTGGCGCCTCTAGTCGTGTGGCGGTGGTGCAAGCTCACATGGTCGTTGGGAATCGGCGGGTTCTCTGGTGATGGTGGGCATGGCGGCGGCCGCGGATCTGGATGCCACCCAAATCCGTCATCCATTCTTCATGTGGATGGTCGGCAGCGCAATGAGGGCTCCGGTGAGGAGATGGAGGATATCTGCCGGAGTACCGGTGGCGACATACGCCTTCATGGCGAGGCTCCACGTGGTTCCAGTCAGCCGCGAGATCAGAACGACGCGGTTTTTGATGAAAAACGTGCCTGACTGCGGTCTTGGCGGACAATGGCGGCGCCTGTGACGTCCTTTCCTTCCTGAGGCATTGTCGTTGCAGGTCACGTCAACTCGATCGGGATGTTCACGGGAAAACCCTAGATCTGGGTCTACCGGATCAGACGATGATGACACCTTCGATGTCGTTCTTCCTCCCGAGATCATCGTTTTGGAGCAAGTGCTAGCTGGAGGGTGTCGTGGTTCTAAGTCTGACAGTAGAATGGGGGGTAGGTATGGAGAGGCAAGATCCTAGATATGGAGTAGTTGTACACACGAGTGTTTAACGAGTTCAGGCCCTTCTCTGAGGAAGTAATAGCCCTACGTCTCGGAGCCCGGAGGCGGTCGACTGGTTTATGTGTATATGAGTTACAGGGGTGCGAACCCTTCTACCAGTGGAGGGGGGTGGCTTATATAGAGGACTCCAGGACCCTAGCCAACCCTAGTAGCAGAGGGTTAAAGTACATTAAGGCCGGGCGTTACTGGTAACGCCCTACATAAAGTGTCATCATGACCATTAAGACTACTTAATTACATACCGTTTGGATACAGAGTAGATCCTGAACTCCTGGTGGTCGAGTGAGTCTTCATGGTCGAGTGTCTTTAGGTTCGTCGAGTGTCTTCTAGCCGGTCGAGTGGAGTCCTTCTTGGTCGACTGGAAGGTAGCTTCGTCTAAGAATGTCCTTGGGTATGGTATCCTAGATAGGTCCATGACCCTACCCTAGGTACATAACATCATCATTAGCCCCCGAATGGATCAAGGTTCGAGTGAGGAAGGAGTTGATGATTTTCTCCGACTTATTTCCCGTGCTTTGATTATGTCGTATCTTGGATCAGCGATTTTTCTTTCGGCGTTGGCGTCAACTTTTACTTCAGTCGCCTTGATCCATTCTTGTCTTCTGTCGAGTGAACTTTTTGAACTTTAGTGAACTTCCGAGCGACGGATCGCAGGAAAGATATCGTCTGACAGATTGATCTACTGTTAGCGGATTTTGCGGGATCCGAATTTTGGGAAGCGCGCGAAGCGGGGCGGACCGCGGTACTCGGATGGGATAAGGCGTGGCCGCCTCGATTTCCATGCCACCTTTTTCGCCACGTATCGTGCGTGCGCGACTGTTTCGGGATGTGACAGGACCGCCCGGACCCACTCGTCAGCCACTCGGAAGCGCCCTTATATAAAGCGCCGGGGGAGGGTTTTTTGAACAATGCCTTCCCATTCTTCTCTCCGCTCTCTTTGCCTCCGCCCACTGCGCCTGCTCTCGCCTCCGCCTATCCACTCCTCGCGTGCTTCACCGACGACAATGGTGAAGGAGAAGATGGCGGCCTTAGAGCGCGCGAAGAAGGCGACGGCGACGGGGAAAGCGAAGGGGAGACCGTCCAGTCGGGGCGGATCTTCGTCAAGGTCCCGCCTGCCTAAAGGTTGGGTCCAAGGGGATTGGATCTGCTCGACCATCACCGAGACAGATCTCAATGACCTGGCCAATGAGGGACTGATCCCCCACGGGTCAGCAAGGCTTCCGGGGACCGAGTGTCAACCGCAGCCGCAGGAGGGTGAGTGCGTTCTCCTAGCCACTCATGTAGACCGTGGCTTTTCTCTGCCGCCGAGTGTTTTCTTCCGAGGGTTTCTGAATTTCTTTGGGGCGCAACTTCACCATTTCACCCCCAATTCTATCGCCTATCTTGCTGCCTTTGTGTCCATGTGCGAGAACTTCCTGGGTTGTCGACCACACTGGGGTCTCTTTAAGCACATTCACCTTTCACTCACAGACAGTGAAAAAGGCGAGTCCGGATGATGAGAGGACTAAGGTTATCCAGATGTGCGGTGGTCTTGGGATTCAGATGAGGAATAAGAGTACTTTCCCGGCCATGACCCTTCCTGAGTCGGTCAGAGGGTGGCAGTTGACTTGGTTCTACTGCCAAGACGAGTCGACGCCGGGGCAGTCGACTGGTCTCCCTCCGTTCTCCATGGACTGAGTGGACAAACCCTCTTCTCTGAAGGTGCTTCCTGAGGAGAAAGCTCAGGTGAAAATGTTGATGGAGCGCGTAGTCCAACTTGTTAGGGACGGAGTGACGGGTATGGATCTTCTGGAGGTCTTCCTTAGACGGCGCATCCAACCGCTTCAGTACCGAGGCCACCCGATGTGGCTGTACTGTGGTACCGAAGACACCACTCGGGTCCATCCAGAAGCGGTCAATGACGCCACACTGGAGAGGTGGGTGGCAGCCATCACAGGGAATAAGGACAACCCTCGAGGATCTAGGAGGATCCCACCACTCGACTGTACTTATACACCGGACACGGTATGACCACTTATCTCCAATTGTAATATTGCTGTATTCATTCTGCTTTGCTGCGAATTGGTCGATTGATCTTTGTTTTGTTTTGCTGTCTGATAGGCCACCACCGAGTTATACTCGATGCCCAATGGAGCGCAGACGCCGACTGAAGAGGAGGAAGGAAGTGGGGGAGAAAGCCCGGAGGAGTGGGATTCGGATGCTGGCGATGATGATGAGGGTGATGACTCTGATGAGGAGGAAGAGGAGGAGGAGGAGGAGGAAGTTGCACCTCCCCGCTCGGAAAGATGCTCGAAGCTTGTCCATGATCCCGCGACTGAGCGTGGTAAGGGGGTCGCAACCGCTACCCAGTCGACCAAGCGCCCTCGGACTACTTCTCCGGTGTCGACTGAGAAGGCTCCGAAGCAATCTCGAGTGGCACCATCGAAACCTGCGAAGGTCTTGCCGAAGATGAAGATGGTGATCCCCACTATCTCAGGGTAATGGTAGTCTTGAGTTTTCCCTGTTTCATGAACTTGTTCTTGGTCGACTCATGGGCCAATCGACTGACTTCTGGAACTGCAGTGCTGCTACTTCTGATACTTCGGCCAGGGCTGAAGACCACGAGATGGAGGATGCTGTTACCTCAAAACCTGGTATGACTCTTGTGATGCCGTTTTCAGTCGATTGACTTATTGTCTCTAATTTTGATTCTTTCTGCAGCTTCATCTAACGTCGTTATCGATCTTCCCGACGACGACGACGAGAAACCACCAAGGCAGAGGAGGAGCAAGAAGGCGTCTGCTGGCAAGGCGACTCAGGACGTGCCAGCACCCGAGACGTTGGTCGTGGAGGGAGACAATGTCACTTGGCCTACCGTAACCTTTGCGGTGCCGTTGACGAGTGCTTGTCCTTCGTCGTCGAGTGCTACTCAACCCTCGCTTTTCTCAACCTACCCTGTTCCAGAAGACCAAGCTAGTGCTGCTAAAGAAGCAATACGCCAAGCGGGGGTCATGATGGAGCAAGTGAAGGCAATACGAGAAGCCAGCCAGGCAGCCTATGACACCAGTTCGGCTCTTCAGAGTAATGTTCAGGTCAGTCGGTCACTGCCTGTTCTGTTAGGATATGATATCTTAGAGTTTGTCCTACACCCACTGGGTGTGTCGATTGAAATTCCGGATTAGTGGGGGCACGCTGAGTGCACCCACTGGGTGTAGTCCCCAAGGCTATGGTCGACTGCTGGCAGTCGACCATAGGCTTTATGTCTTAATTTCCTTACTTGACTAGGTCGAATAGATTCATAGACCGGTGGGGGCACGCTGAGTGCACCCACTGGGTGTAGTCCCCGAGACTGTGGTCGACTGCTGGCAGTCGACTATAGTCTGAAGAACATCTCCCGTTTTTTTTGTTGGTCGACTGGTCGACTCTAACTGATGAAACTAGTGGGGGCACGCTGAGTGCACTCACTGGGTGTAGTCCCCGAGACTATGGTCGAATGTTTGTATTCGGCCATAGTCTTAGAAACGCTATGATTTTTTCCTTACTCACTCGGAAGTGAATTGTCTTTGACATCTGTCGATTGGTTCTTTGTAGAAATCATGTGACCTTGCGGCTCGTTATACTGAGTTGGAGAACAAACACATTCAGCTCGAGCTCGATCTGAAACTGGCCCAAGAGAACTTGACGAAGGCGAAGGAGGAAGCTAAAGGTATGCTTGGTGAGGCCTTTGACGACTGCCTTTGCCTCTCACTTGTTTCCGAATCTAATCTCACTGTAACTTTGCAGACAA